CCTCTCTCGCTGCCCCTCCCCCGTTCATGCTCTGTCTCTCTCTGTCCCAAAAATAAAATAAACGTTGAAAAAAAAAATTAAAAAAAAAAAAAAAAGAGTCTTCTCCATTTTTCCAAGTAAAACAACAACAACAAAAAAAGAGGGGTGGGGGGGGGGGGTAGAAGCTCTCTTTGCCTGCTATCAACTTTCCACTATTACTCAGGTCTTCTTCAGACTTAGACTTGCAATTGAAATAGTCAAGGACCCAGAGCTTATACCTCTCTTGTCTGTGTTTTTCCAATTCAGAACAAAAGATTTGCCCAACTCTGCCCCTAAAGGTTCTGTCCTGTTTCTACCCTTCTTTGCCAAACTCCTGTGACAAATTATCTGCACTCACATTTATTTTCAGCTCTTAACTTCCAATAATTCAGTTTTGTTCTCTATTGAGAATGTAATTAGGGGTCATTATCTACTCTGGAATAGGTGGATTCAAATGTCCCTTCTCAGTCTTGACTGGCATCCAGAGTCTCTTACTCAATTTGCTACTGCAAATCACACTCTAAAGGATGGGTCTTTTTTTTTTTTCAGTAAGTTAAAAAAATTTTAATTTCATGATCAGTATAGCAACATTAATACAGTTCTACATAAAAGGCAGAAAAAGTCACCCACAATGCCACTACCCTTAAAAAAATAAACATTTTTTAAAAGTTATGTTTATAAGGCACTAGCTCAATACATTATAGTTCATCTTGTGGAATGTTATGCAACATTTGAAAACAATGAGATAAATCTATGCATCTGAAAAAACTCCCATAGTAACTGTCAAGTGAAAATAGCATGGTGTATAACAATATCTATAATGCAATACTATTTTTGTATGTTTATAAATATATCTCATGCTGGGATAGGTATGCAAATTTTCTGGGAGGACATACAAGATACGTTCAACAGCCACTACTTGTAGACTCTAAAAAAAGGGAATTGCTGATATGAAAAAAGATTTTACTTTATACTTTCCTGGATTGAGTGATTTGTTTACCATGTAATTTAAAAAATAACTACCATCTAAAAAAATTTTTTTAACGTTTATTTATTATTGAAAGACAGAGAGAGACAGAGTGTGAGCAGGGGAGGGGCAGAGAGAGAGGGAGACACAGAATCTGAAGCAGCCTCCAGGCTCTGAGTCATCAGCACAAAGCCTGATGCCGGGCTTGAACTCACAAACCGTGAGATCATGACCTGAGCCGAAGTGGGATGCTCAACCAACTGAGCCACCCAGGCGCCCCCCCCCTTTTTTTTTTAATTTTTTAACGTTTATTTATTAGTATTGAAATAAAAAATAACTACCATCTAAAACAAAAGTTATGTTTGTGCACAGTTTTTTTGGAAATAAATAAAACAGTTAAATGTCTACACATGCAACATGTGAAGTTTATTGCTTATGTAGTTGATATTCAAAAGAAGTTTATTACATTTGAAAAGTATTTGAAGATTAAAGACACAGAGAGATAAACCAAGAAACAGATTCTTAACTATAGAGAACAAATGAGGGTTAGCAGAGGGGGTGGGTGGGTAGGGAGATGAGTGAAGTAGGGGATGGGGATTAAGGAGTGCACTTGTTGTGATGACCACTGAGTGTTGCATGCAAGTGTTGACTCATTAAATTCACACCTGAAACTAACATAACACTGTATATTAACAAGTATTTGAAAGTAAATTTTACTTCATTCTGCACAAGTTCACAAAATTATATAACAGTTTTTGAGAAATGATAACCAAATGTACATTAAATGTTACTTGCTCATAGCTTAATAAATTTCAAAAGAAAAATTATACAAAATTCTGTCAACATTTTACAGCATATTTTGATATTTGATTTGGGAGGTCATTATATATATATTTAAATTTTTTAAGTGTTTATTTTTGAGAGAGAGAGACAGACAGACAGACAGACCCCCAGTGGGAGAGGGGCAGAGAGAGATGGAGACACAGAAACCGAAGCAGCTCCAGGCTCTGAGCACACAGCCCGATGTGGGGCTCGAACGCACAAACTGCGAGATCATGACCTGAGCCGAAGTCAGATGTTTAACCGACTGAACCAGCCAGGTGGCCCTGCATGTCATTATATATTTTAATATGTATATAGGATACTACACAGGATCTCCTCTATGTATATAGGATACTGCAAAGAATACTACAAATGCCTAGAGCACAAAAGGCTCTTAAATTAGACCTGGGTAGCATAACACTCCAAACTGTATAAAGAATAAATCCACATCTAATTCTGCTTTCAGTATTGCCCTCCCTGCTTACTTTGGCTTTGGCTTCTAGAAAACAGTAGAATGTCTGCTGATAAACCAGGTAAGGTCTGGTTTTCTTTCTATCTTCTTTAAGACACTTTTTTTTTTAAAGGTGAATTTTATGGTATGTGAATTATAACTCAATGAAAATAAAGAAAGATAATTTTCATGCTGGAAGGGGAAGAACAAACATAGGTAAGAAATTTGAAATTCCACAGAGGTGAAATAATATGAAGTATTCTGTCACTTTTAACAAAGCAAGATTTCTAGTCCCAAATACTGTAAGGCCAGTGTGATTATAAACCACGAATGAAAATATAAAAATTATTTTGACAGTGGGAAAAATGTCAGAAGGTGAGATGTATTGAGTTTCAAGGGTGAATAAGGTCTTCTTTTAAAGACAGAAGATTGGTCAAACCTGTTTAGTTTGAAATAGCTGCCTACCTCAAGATTACTCTTTTCATTATAAATATTTGGTACTACTTCTTCACTCAAAAAGTGTTTTTGGCAGGGGTGCCTGGCTGGCTTAGTCAGTGGAGCATGCCATTCTTGATTTTGGGGTTGTGGGCTTGAGCCCCACATTGGATGTAGGGATTGTTTGGAAATAAAATCTTAAAAAGAAAAAAAAGTGGTTTTTGTGTGTGTGTAAAAAAATAAGATCCTAAAAATTATAGTCTGAAAATCTTCAGCGACCCCTGGGAGATTTTGGTATGAATTATTAAAAGGTGTTAAAAAAAATTTTTTTTTAAAAGAGGGGGTGCCTGCATGGCTCAGTTGGTTGAGTGTCCGACTCTGGATTTTGGCTTAGGTTGTGATCTCACGGGTTTATGGGTTCGAGCCTCACATCAGGCCCCACAATGACAATGTGGAACCTGCTTGGTATTTTTTTCTCTCCCCCTTTCTCTACTGCTCTGCAGCTCAAGCTCACTCTCTCTCAAAGTAAATAAATAAACTTAAAAAAAATTTTTTTTAAAGGTGTTTTATGAGCACTTAAAGGAATTGACTCTAGGAACCAATATGGATCCACTAAGGGCAAGTTCATTGACTGAACAAATATTTATTGTGCACCTACTTACTGGTCCTGGTTACTGTGCAAGGCACTCGGGATGAAGCAGAAAACAAAACAGGTATGTTCCTGCCCCTTGTGGAACTGAGGAAGACAAATGATAACAAAAACTATGGCATAATTACAACTTGTGATAAGTGCTATGAAAGAAATCATAGGGATTTATGTGAGCACATAATTAGAGGAACTGGCCTCATTGCAGGAGAGGGTGATGCTAGAGAAATCCTCTGTGAGGAGGCAGCATGTAATCAGAGCCCTGAAGGATGAATAGAATTTAGATAGGCAAAGTGTGGGGAGTGCTACAGAGAAAATCTGAAAACCACATGTGAAAAATGCATGAGGCAGCAATAAACTTGGCATTCTAGAGGAAGGAGAAAAAGCTGATGTGGCTGGAACAGTAAACAGGAGGTGAGTGCAAGAATGAGATTATCCAGGTAATTAGGGGCCATACCACGCAGGCTATTTCTTTCTTTCTTTCTTTCTTTCTTTTAAAGTTTTTCTTTACTTGAGTACTCTCTACACCCCATGTGGGGTTCAAATTCACCACCCAGACATCAAGAGTAACACGCTCTTCCAACTGAGCCAGCCAGGAGCCCTGTGGCTATTTCCTTTTTTGAAATGACAGGACAGTAGATTAAAGAAATACAAAGACACACTAAATTTATTTTCAGCAAGCCATTTGATGAAAGCACTTGGAAAGAACCACAGTTACCAGTTTTATAACCAAATTTGGTCCAAAATCCACCCACTTCTCCCCTACCTTCTGTTTCCTCCCTGGATGAGACCACCACCATCTCTCTCCTGGGCCACTGTTTTCACTTTTACCCCCTCCCCTTGCAATCCATTCTCTGTACAGCAGCTGGAGTGATCTAAAAACTAAACTATACCATTTGAATTCTTTGCTTAAAATCCTTCAGTGGCTTCTCATTTGTAACAGGTTGGGCTCTCCACAGACGTGGGGACCAAGCTTGGGATCCAAGATGTATATCAGGGTTTAACACCTCTGAATGGAAAGAAGAGGAAGCGGGACTCGGCAGAGGAAGAAATCAGTGATACACACCCAATAAAGCTTGGGCTAACCCACCAGGGAGCCCAGGAATGAGTGCGGTTGGTCAGAATTGTGCGGTGCAAGATCCAAATGATCCAAATGATTGAGCCTTTATATCCCCGCCCACTCAGTCACAGATACGGTCTGTTCTAAGTGGGGTATGTCCTCAGGCAGCAAGGCTCTCTGCACCTAAGGTAGACCTGAAAGAGCTGTCAGCTCAAGGCTCCTTGCTGACCACACTCTCCATTTCTGGGCATCAAGCACTTCCTTAAAGGGATATCTGGTTGTTGCATCTTCTTATCCATGTCAGCATTGCATTTAGACATGTAGGACTTCAAAACCCTGAACGATCTGGCTCCTGTCTACCTCTCCTCCACTTGGCTTCTGTTCACAATTGGCTCTAGGCACACTAGCCTGCCTGTTTCTTGAAGCTTATCCCCTCTTCAGGGTCTTTGTACTTGCCTCAGTGTTCTATTCCCAGCCTTCACGTTATATTCCTACCTTCTTCTAAAGTTGTCTGCCTCCCTCCTCAGCATTCCCGATGATGTTGCCCTGCTTCACTTTCCTTATGCACTTACCTAACATTATCCAGAGTATTTGATTTTTGTTTACATTGGTCTCATCAACTAGAATGTAAGTTCCACGAGGGTATGGATCTGATCTGGTAGGTTCACTGCTTCGTCCCCAGTCAGTACCTAGAACATAGTATACCTTCGATAAATATTTGTTAAACTGAATTCAGATGAGGTGCAGAAATGCACACTAAATGACACTACAGACAGTTCCATGTTAGCTAATTGAACGACTCACCCGAATACTATTTATTACTGCATTAAGATTAACCTGAAGAGAGATCTCTAATTGTCTGATACAAATCTGTCTGGTCTTGTCAAACGGATAAATGTCAATGATTTCTGTAGACAAAAATGGTGTGATCATTCAAATTTCTGACGTACAAAGCTGGGAGTATTGGTGGTTAATGTATTGGATGACAGGTTTCAGATTCAAAAATACCTGAAGGTCCATCAACAACACAACAGGTAATTAGTTGTAGTATATTATTCATACAACGAATTATTGTGCAGCAATGAAAATGAGTGAACTACTGGTATCTGTCACACGGAGGAAACTCACTAAGGAAATGATGAGGGAAAGAAACCAGACACACAAAAAAAGAGTATGTCCTACATGATTCTATATCTATATACTTCAAAATCAGGCAAAACTATTCTGTGGTTCTCTTAAGGAAGGAGGAAGAGAGCAATGGGAGGGACATGAGGAAAGCTTTTGAGGTGTTTATTTCTTGAACCAGTGTCTATTTCTTGACCTAGGTGGTGGTATAAATGTGTTTACTTTGCAATAACTCATTGATCTGTGAAGTTATGATTTATCCACATTTTTATATGTATATTATACACTTTTAAAGTTGAGGTAAAAAGGACCTGACAGGTATATTTAACCCTTCTTAAAAAATATTTATTATCTATTTTTGAGATACAGGGACAAAGCACAAGCAGGGGAGGGGCAGAGAGAGAGGGAGACACAGAATCTGAAGCAGGCTTCAGGCTCTGAGCTCTCAGTACAGAGCCGTATGTTGGGCTCAAATCTACAAACTGTGAGATCATGACCTGAGCTGAAGTCGGACGCTTAACTGACTAAGCCATGCAGCTGCCCCATTGTAGTTCCTGATTTTAAATGAAAGAGTTATAATATTTTGCCAGTTAGGATTATAATTGCTGTTGACTTGCAGTAAATAATTTTTATTATATTGCAACTATGTGGATGGAACTAGAGGGTATTATTATGCTAAGCAAAATTAGTCAGAGAAAGACAAATATCATATGACTTCACTCATATGAGGACTTTAAGACACAGAACAGATGAACACAAGGAAAGGGAAGCAAAAATAATATAAAAAACAGGGAGAGGGACAAAATATAAGAGACTCTTAAATATAGAGAACAAACAGAGGGTTACTGGAGGGGGTTTGGGAGGGGGGGATGGGCTAAATGGGTAAGGGCATTAAGGAATCTACTACTGAAGTCATTGTTGGACTATATGCTAACTAACTTGGATGTAAATTTAAAAAATAAAATAAATAATTTTTATTATATTTAAGTAGTTTCCTTTGATCTCTTGTTTCACAGGGGTTTTATTAGAATGACTGCTATAATACCTATTGCTGCAGGGATATAGGGAAAAGAGTATTTTCATGTGTCACTATTGAAATACAAAGCATTACAGGCTCTTTAAAAGCAATCTGGCAACACCTATTATTTAAAAATACAAAAAGTGGGGTGCCTGGGTGGCTCAATCTGTTAAGCATCCAACTCTTGATTTCAGCTCAGGTCAGGATTTCACAGTTGGTGAGTTCAGCCCTGTGTTGGGTTCCACACTGGACGTAGAGCCTACTTAAGATTCTCCCACTTTCTCTGCTCTTCCCCTGCTGGCAATCTCTCTCAAAATAAATAAATAAATAAATAAAATAAAAAATGAAAATATATACACCCCTTGGGGTGCCTGGCTGGCTCAGTTGGTAGAGCCTGCAACTCTTGATGTTGGGTTGTGAGTTCAAGCCTCATGTTGGGTGTAGAGATTGTTGAAAAATAAAATCTTTAAAATACATATATCCCTTGACCTACCAATCTCAGTTCTGGAAATCTATCCTACTAAAATAAACTACTAGTTTCAATAAAACTGTTGAAAAACATCATAGTACATACTGTACCAGGATATTTATTAGAGCAGTGTTTTCAGTGTTAACACATGCACACACATACACACACGTTGTAAATAGCATGCATGCCCATTGATAGGGGAATGGTTGCAAAAATTATAGTACATCCACATTTGGAACATCCATTAAAAGGAATGAATTTGATTTAGAAACTTAAATTTTTTTTAATGTTTATTTTTGAGAGAGAGAGATAGGCAGAGCGTGAGCAGGGGAGGGGCAGACACAGAATCCGAAGCAGGCTCCAGGCTCTGAGCTGTCAGCACAGAGCCTGACATGGGGCTCGAACTCACAAACCATGAGATCATGACCTGAGCTGAAGTCAGACGCTTAACTGACAGAGCCACCCAGGCACCCTGGAGATTGTTTTTGTTTTGTTCTTTTTAATGTTTATTTTTGAGATGGGGGGGGGGTGGCACAGAGAAGATCCAAAGCGGGCTCTGTACTGAGAGCAGAGAGCCCAATGTGGGGTTGGAACTCATAAACCGTGAGACCATGACATGGGATGAAGTTGGACACTTAAGCAACTGAACCACCCAGGTGCCCCTAATTTAGAGAGATTTTAAACAAGAAATTGTTTTAAGTAAAAGTGAGAGGCAAAAATGTAGTCACTTCTTTTTTTCCTTTAAGTTTTTATTTGTATATTTTGAAGGGGGTAGGGGCAGAGAGAGAGGGAGGGAGAGAATCCCAAGCAGGCTCTGCACCGTCAGGGCAGAGCCCCACATGGGGCTTGAACTCATGAACAGTGAGATCATAACCTGAGCCAAAATCAAGGGTCACATGCTTAACTGCCTGAGCCGCGCAGGCACCCCTAGTCACTTCTTAAATTACAAAAAAAGTCTATAACAAATATGTGTACATTTGTATTTGTCTATGTGTTATTATAGAGCATGGAGAAAAATATTAAATAGGTTGATAAAATGGTTACGGAAGGGTTAGAACTGTTGGGGTGACAAAGGAGGAGAGATAAGGTGGGAGTCAAAGTGAAAAAAATAAAATAAGAGCTAAAGGTCTATATGAGTCATATACCAGGTGAAAAATCAAACAAAGTCTTAGGGACATTAATATATTGTAATGTGTCCAAATCCAAGGGCATAATAATCACAGTGTACTTTATGCTCTCCAGATCAAACCTAGATTGTTGTGTCAATTTCTGGACACCACACTAAAAATAAATATTTTTCCTGCCCCTCAAAAAATTGTTTTTCTGTGGGGGCACCTGGCTGGCTCAGTTGATGGAGCATCTGACTTTTGATCTCAGGTTCAAGCCCCACATTGGGCAAGGAGACTATTTAAAAAAAAAAAAAATTGTTTTACTTTTATAAGAGGAATGGTCAAGAATTAAGCAAACCTGGGTTTCAAGTTCTTTTCAGCCACTTAATTAACTGTGTGACCTTGGCAAATTACTTAATCCCTCTATGCCTCAGTTTCTTCATTTGTACAATGGGGAAAATTATAGTTCCTATCTCTCAGGTTTATTATAGGATAATTCTATACGCATTCTAGGACTGGTATCTAGAATAAACCCCCCCAAAATAATTTAACTGTCAGATATTAAAGTAAATATTTATTGCAAAAATTAGAATCTACATAGAAGCAAGAAAATTTAAAAACAACCACAATCTTACCTTCCTAGATTAACTACTATTAACTTTTGGATGTTTGTCCATTATTCAGCGTGATCTGAAAAAACTATTATGAGTGATGAAACTTAGTTAGGACAAATTAGCAGCATCCAATGGTGCGTCATATGGACCAGGGGTAGACATATTCTGTGAAGCTGCAAAGAACCACAGCAAGCAGCAAGGGTTATGATGAGAGCTGTCCAGCAATGAAATGGGTTGTCCAACACCATGGCAAGTTCCTCATTATACTAAATAACTGAGTCTTGGCTGGTGACCATTTGTTAGAAAAAGTATGGAAGAAATGCTGGCTTTGGAAAACAGGTCAAGCCAAATGACTTCTAGAACTCTTCCTATCTCTAACATATGATCAAGAAATATTTTTTGGAGGAATGGATATATTAGACTCGCAGCCTTCATAAAACAATTTGTGTGGTTCTTACAGGTGGTAAGAACAGTTCTAAGGTCCCATTAAAGTTAATAGGAAATTCCTAGCATAGGTCAGGCAGAGGAACTCTCCCTCGTACAACACTGAGGACGTGCAATTCCACCAATTAATTACATTCAAATGGAGAAAGAAATCTAAGGGAGGGGCAGGCCTGAAAAGAGTTACATCTTATCTTTAGGTACTGTTTGTCTGCTTTCTTAATACTCAGGGTCTCTTCCTTGGAACAGTTTCTGACCTGGCAGAAATTCATAGTAATTACTCAGGGGAAAGGAAAGGAGAAACCAACAAACAAAAAATACATTAATGTGTGTGGGTAAAAAAAAAAAAATTTAAGAACATGGTGTTGGTGGGAGAGAAGACTAAAGGCCTATGTAAGACCCACCCAAGTGCTTTTGATGTTTGAGCAATTATTATCTTATTATTTTTCCTGCTATAGATGCAGCTGCAATTTATGTAACAGGATGTTTAAAAAGATTAAAGAGAAGCTGTAGTAGAGTTCTGAGGTGATAAGAGTCCCTGGAATATGTATTTATGGACGTTTAGAATATAAGTTCCTGTACATTCTTAGAATAAACCATCTATTTGTTTTTCTTTTTTTTTAAAGAAACAAGTAAAATTTGTATTTCAATATGGCTGCTTCCTGCCCACAAGTGATACTGAAAAAAATAGAGCAAAGAGAGCAAATAATAGAGCAAAGAAAGGTTAGTGATGGTTCAATCTGTTATCTGTGCTGTTTTTTAATCAGCTATGACTTTTATGTCCAAAATATTTTATCGCTATATTAAGATAAGTGTTTAGAATTTATTTGGATTAAACCTGTTCATCAGTAAATGGATTATTCTATTGCTCAAGCAGGAGAGTTGCATGGAATTTGTGACTATAATAACTCTG